GGGGCTGACCCTCCAGGCCCTCACCTGCCTCAAGGGTGGGACTAGCCTCATGCTCACCCTTTTATGTCCAGAAACATCCCAACTAGTGACTGTGTCCCACCATATCTCCACAGGACCTCTCTTAATGCCCAGGACAAATAGCTCCATTGTAGGATCAGGGCTCTAGAACTTGAAGGAACCTCAGAGGCCAAGACAAATCCCTTCATTTTACAGAAGAGGAAAGTGAGGTGTAGAAAGGTTAAGCTCAAGGTCACCCAGCTAATAAGTACCTGAGGCAGGATTCAATCTCAGGCCTTCCTGGTTTGCAAGTCCAGCACTATCCATTACCCAACACTGCCTCTTACCCTCATGGAGGAACAGACTAATTCTGGTGGTATCCCCTCCCCTTCCCCCCCCCCTCCGCCTCCCCAGGCAGTAACTGGATAACTGGCGGATAACTGGCAGAGCTGGGCCCAAAGTCAGTAATTCTTGAGTTCAGATATGGCCCTGTTGTGGTCTAGGGGTGCTGGGAACCCCAAAATTCAAGGGCAAAAGACACAGGGCCTACCTCGAAAAAATTCGACTCAAGCTTTCTTTCAGTCAGAGACAAGGTTTATTAAAACACCAGTTGGGGTGAGCGAGATTCCTAATGAGTGCACTATTGGCCAGATTTTAAGAATCTGGGCCTTTGTAATGAGAATACAACCAGGCCAGACTCTTAAGGAATCTGAGCACCTTAATGGAGGCAAGATGGACCTTTTATACAGCAAGACTATGGGAAGATCTGGATGGGAGTGGACAGCAGGCTGGAGTGACTGGGAGGTAAAAGAGAGGGGGTCTAGATAGAATCAAGGAGTGGTCATCTAGGGTGGGGCCAGGTGAAGACCATGAGGGCCACAATGAAAGGGCAATTGAAAGGATTAACTGGGAAGGGATGGGTGCCCCAGGCAAACACCAGGGACCTGGGCCACATGGGAAAGTCCAGGGCCTTTTAGGGGTCCATCATTAGTGCCCCATCAGCCCCAGACACTTATTAGCTATGTGACCCTGGGCAAGCCACTTAACCTCTCTTTGCCTCAGCTTCCTCAAGTATAAAGTAGTGATAACTGTGAGGATCAAATGAGATAATATTTGTAAAAGCACTTAACACACTGCCTGGCATTCCTCCCCCCCCCCCCTTCCCTCTGGTGGAGTTAGCCTGGGTTTTACCCAAGATTCCCAAGGCTGGTGGCCAACAGTGGCTCAGAGGCTACTGCTTAATCAGGGAAGCTGAAGCCACAGGGTAGAAATGACTTGCCCAAGGCCACACAGCTAGGAAGTAGCAGAATTTTGGGGCTCAGTCCAACCTGATGGTATTGTGGCTTACAGGGACAGGGCCAAGGCTGACAAAGTCACTTTTGTTGCACCAATGGAGACCTGCAGTCCAGAAGGGCTATCCCTCTTGTCATCATTCTTTAGCTAATAACAATTACTCAGACTTATACAAGGCTTTAAGAGGTAGCCTGGTATAGTAGAAAGAGAACTAGATTTGGAGTCAGAGTTCAAATCCTGTCTCTCTCATTTGTCTCAGTTTCCTCCTCTGTAAAATTAAGGACTTGACAAGCTGGCCTCTTATGTTCCTTCCAGCTCTAGACCTGTGAAGGTCCAAGGTTTGCCTACCTAGCCTTAGCACCCCCATTTTACTGATGAGGAAACAGGCTCAGAGAGAAGTCACCAGCCAGGGCTACACAACAAACTTGGAGCAAAGATTCAAAGCCAAGGCCTCAGATTACAAGGCCATTGCTCTTTCTTCTGCCCTAAGGGTCAGAGGGACAGGATGTCTGCCCTACTTTCTCCTGCCCACCTCTTTCCTCTTCCCTCCCTCCACCTTGGTTCTTTCTCCTCCTCTTTCCTTTTCCCTCTTTGCCTGCCTAGGCCTCGGATCTCCCAAGAGTATTCAGGGGCCTAACAGCCCTACTTTCAGGCCCTCAGGGACAAAAAGTTGGCTGACCCTCCACCCAGAGAGCTTTGGGTTCAGCTAAATTCATCACTGCCTTCCAGTGGGATAAGGTCAAGTCCGGGCACTTGGGGCCAGGAAATCCTGAAGTGAGTGTCAGGTCAAAGAGCAAGCCTGGGATTTAAAGGAGCTGGAGGGCAACAACCAGTTACCCTCTGGTGATCCTTTATTTCCTTATCAGGAAAATGGGACTGATTATTCACTAACTACCACAGGGCTATTAGGAGGAAAAAGAACTTCTCTGAGTTACAATTATCATCTTCCCATATAGGAATGTAAACAGTTTAACCTTATTGAGTTCCTGATGAATTCCCTTTCCTGTTTATCTTTTTATGCTTCTCTTGAGTCTTATATTTGAAAGTCAAATTTCATTGAATGAAATTGAGGACTTTCCAGCATTCCTGATGAAGACCAGAGCTGAATAGAAAATTTGACTTTCAAATACAAGACTCAAGAGAAGCATAAAAAGTAAACAGGAAAAGGAAATCATAAGGGACTCAATAAGGTTAAACTGTTTACATTCCTATATGGGAAGATGATATTTGTAACTCATAAGACTCTCCCATTATGAGGGTAGTTAGAAGGAGTATATATAGCAGAGGGCACAGGTGTGAGTTGCATATGAAGAGATGATATCTACAAGATAAAATTAAGGGGTGAGAGAGGAATATACTGGGAGAAAGAGAAAGGGAAGGGTAGAATGGGGTAAATTATCTCATATGAAAGAGGCAAGCAAAAGATTTTACAGTGGAGGAGAAGAAGGGAAGGTGAAGGAGAATGAGTGAACCTTACTCTCATTAGAATTGGCCCAAAGAGGAAATAACATATACACTCAACTGCGTGCAGAAATACATCTTACCTTACAGGAAAGTAGGAGGGGAAGGGAATAAGAGAAGAGAGTGGTGGTGATAGAAGGGAGGGTGGATTGGGGAGGGTATAGTCAGAAGCAAAACATTTTTTGAGGAGGGACAGAGTGAAAGGAGAGAAAGAACAGAATATTGATGGGGGGAAATATGATGGAGGGAAATACAGTTAGCAATCATAATTGTAAAAACATTTTTGAAGGAAGTTTCTCTGATAAAGGCCTCATTTCTCAAATATATAGAGAAATGAGTCAAATTTATAAAAATAAGAGCCATTCCGCAATTGATAAATGATCAAAAGCTATGAACAGTCAGTTTTCAAATGAAGTAATCAAGGCTGTCTATAGTCATATGAAAAAAATGCTCTAAATCACTATTGATTGGAGAAATGTAAATCAAAACAATTCTGAGGTACAATCTTACACCTTTTAGATTGGCTAATAGGACAGAAAAGGAAAATGACAAATGTTGGAGGGGATGTGGGAAAATTGAGACACTGATTCACTGTTGGTGGAGTTCTGAACGGATTCAACCATTAGGTAGAGTAATTTGGCACTAAGCCCAAAGGCCAATAAAATCACACGTCTCCTTTGACCCAGTAATACCACTACTAGGTCTATATCCCTAAAGGGATAAAAAAAAAAAAAGGAAAAAGACCTATATGTACAAAAGTATGTATAGCAGCTCTTTTCTGGTGGCAAAGAGTTGGAAATTGAGGGGATGCCCATCAATTAGGGAATGGCTGAACAAGTTGTGGTATATGATTGTGATGGAATACTATTGTGCTATAAGAAATGATGAGCAGGATGCTCTCAGAAAAACCTACATGAAAAGCTGCAAAGTGAAATGAGTAGAACCAGGAGAACATTGTACACAGTAACAGCAATGTTGTAAAATGATCAACTGTGAAGGACTTAGCTATTCTTAGCAATACAGTGATCTAAGCCAGTTCCTAAGGACTTGTGATGAAAAAAATGCTATCCATCCCCAGAGAAAGAACTGATGGAGTCTGAATAGAGATGTAAGCATACTTTTTTCTTTTTGCTTCCTTTCTTTTTCTTGGTTTGTTTTTGTCTTTTTACAATGTGGAAATATGTTTTACATGACTACACATATATAACCTATATTAAATTGATTGCCTTCTGGGGCAGCTAGGTGGTGCAGCTGGATAGAGCTCTGGCCTTGGAGTCAGGAGGATGTGAGTTCAAATCCAGTCTCAGACACAACACTTATTAGCTGTGTGACCTTGGGCAAGTCACTTAACCTCGATTACCTCACTAAAAAAAAATTGCTTGCCTTCTCAATTGGGGGGGGTGAGGAGGAAGGGAAAGAATTTGGAACTCAAAATTTTTAAAAATTATTTATTTATTTTTAGTTTTCAACATTCACTTCCATAAGATTTTGAATTCCAAATTTTTTCCCCATCTCTCCCATCCCCTCCACTCCAAGATGGGCATGTAAATTGATGTAGGCTCAACATATACATTCATATTAAACCAATTTTCACATTAGTCATGTTGTAAAGAAGAATTAGAACCAATGGGAGAAACCACGAGAAAGAAGAAAAAAAAAAGAGAGAGAGAGTAAATAATATGCTTCAATCTGCATTCAGACTCCATAGTTTTTTTTTTTCTGGATGTGGACAGCATTTTCCATGAGGTGGAACTCAAAATTTTAAAAACAAATGTTAAAAATTGTTTTTACATGTAATTGGGGGAAAATAAAATACTAAAATAATTTAAATTAAAAAAAAAAGAAAAGGAACTTAGCTCTGAGTCTGTTTCCTCAGTTTCCATAAGGATGAGAATGCTCTCCACCTCCTGGGGGTGGCTGTAAGGAAAGCTCTGGATGGCAGATGGAGGGAGGCAGAATCAGTGGAGCTCCTTCCCTCTTAACTCCGAACTAGGTGAATGAAGCCAATGCTGGTCAAGCTAAAGAGCAGGTGCCAGAGGTGGCCATGCCCATTCTTTGAACTGGTTACCTTCTAGCCAGGAAGTTAAGGAACTCCCCCTCCCACTGCGTCTCCCTCCACTTCACCCTATCCTGGGCCCCTATTTAATCTACCAGCTTTGTTTTTGTTCAGAATACTGGGCCATGGAGCCAAGCCTTCCTCCTGCTCATTAAGGGTTTCTGATATTACCCCTTAGGTGAAAGATGCTGAACTCCAAGTCTGATGGGATATTCTGGGCCAGGAAACAGGGAAAGAAGGACCTGCTGATCTCAGGCCTGAAAGCAACCCCTTGGCCCCAAGGCAATGCCCAGAGACTTCTGATTCCCTGGGCAAGGGAGAGATGGACATGATTCTGATGGAGGCCAGTCCCCTTGGCACAGGAGCAGGGCAGACCTGGCTGAGCTATTCTTTTCAAATGAATCCCTTCCAGGTAACTTGGGGGGGGTGAAAGGGAGGGGACTAAAGGAGGGGCCCCTATGGTGGGTATGCCCAAGTCTAGTCTTAGACAGAAGATGGTAAGCCTAATGACATTTCTGAGGGGACCAAAGCTCATAGCATGAATAATAAGATTTCAAGCTTGAAGACATATGTGAATTTTATAGAGAGGGAAAGCAATTTACCCATATAGCTAGGAAGTGGTAGAAGCCAGAGCAGAACCCAAGTATATTGACTCCAAATCCAGTACTCAGTCTACTATCTCATACCATGTCTTGTATTATAACAGCCTCACTTTCACAGTGCTTAGCACACGGTAAGTGCTTAATAAATACTTGTTGATGGTTATACGAACAGTTTCACATAGCCACATATATGAACACTGCTATACATTTATAAGACACAGAGAAATAGTTGGACACAGTCACATACACAAGCACACTCACACAGTGCAGGCATCCTCACAAGATGAATCTCATTCACCTGCTGTGGGGAATTGTTGTTTAGTTATTTTCAGTCATGTCTGATTCTCCATGACCCCATTTGGGGTTTTCTTGGCAAAGATAACTGAGTGGTTTGCCTTTCCTTCTCTGGCTCATTTGACAGATGAGGAAACCGAGGCAAACAGGGTGAAGTGACTTACTCAAGGTCACACAGCTAATAAGTGTCTAAAGCTAGATTTGAACTCAGTTGTTCCTGACTCCAGACCCACTGGAGTCTATCCACTGTAGCACCACCTAGGTGTGGGGGGTGGCTTTCTTTTATGTGGCTTGTTTGTGCAATAAGCCAATGAAATGTTGGGAAGAAAGCAAGATCTGTGCTGCAGTCTCTTTCTGTTTTTCTGCCAACCTTGCCTATGGCTGTGAAGCCTAACCATTTGGACCATGAGGCCAAGGCTCTGCCATTTACCTGGGGGCAGTGTACCCCCTCAAAAGCAAAGCACCCAAGAGGAAAGAGGCATCTCTGAGACTGAGATGGTGGCTCCACAATGGAAAAAAAGGGGGGGATACCTTGGAGAGACGATTCAAAACTTATTAGGATTCAGCATTTTGGTTTCCCCTTCTGTGAAATAAAGGCCCTTCCAGCTCCATTGAGTCTAAGATCTAAAGACATTCCTTCCTTTCTCAAACTCAAAGACTACCACTATCTTCCCTATCTCTCTTTGTTGGGAGGCCTTTTCCAGGCCTCTCAGAGATGCCAAGCAAACTCTACCCCCGTAGCATCCTTCTCTGACCCTCAGTTAACTTTCTAGGCTTCCCATCTGCCTTATTATTAAGAGGAATTTCCAAGTATCATTGAAGAATCACCATCACAGTGTTCCTGAGTGGTAGAAAGAAAAGGAGATTGTCTTATTTGCCAGTAAAAATCAAAAGCCCAGAGAGCCAGATTGACTTGCTGAAGGTCCCATAGCACCAGGTTCTGGTCAAAACAGAACCTACATCCATAATAGCAGGCATCTGCTTGAACACCTCCAATGACGAGAAGATAACTATCACTAGAGGTAGCCCATTTCCCCTTCAGGGAGCTCTAAATGATGTTAGGAAGTGTTTCTTTACATCAAATAGAAATCTGCCTCTCTGCAATATTCACCTCCTGCTCCTAGTTCTGCCCTCTGGGGCCTTCTCCTACATCACAGCCCTCCAAACACTTGAAGACAGCTGTCATATCCCTCCCAAAGTCTTACCTTCTCCAAATTAAACACCCCCAGTTCCTTCAACTTATCCTTCTATGGCAAGGTCTCCAGTCTTCTCACCATCCTAGCTGCCCTCCTCTGAACACCCTCTATTTTGTCAATGTCCTGAAAGCACGGTGCCCAGAACTGAACACAGTTGTCCAGCTGGGTGTCTGACCAGGGCAGGGTACTGGGGAAGAACCAGCTCTCTCATTCTAAATATTAGGCTTCTTTTCATTTACAACCTGAGATTTTGTCAGCTTTTTTAGTGACCATCCCAGTGTTGACTCAGAAGGAAACTTGTGGGCCATTAACCTCCTAGATAGTCTATCAACTTGTCTAGCCAATACCTCTCCTCATTCTTTACTTGTGCAATTGATTTTTTGAACCTAGGTTTAGGACTTTACATTTATCCCTTTTAAACTCCATCTCATACAATTGGGTCTCTCAAGATCCTTTTGGATCTTCTGTTATTCAGTGTTTTAACCATCCCTCCCAGCTTCCTAGTGTCTTCAAATCCCAGCTAGCCTTCTCCAAATGCAAGCCTGGTAGGAAGAAGGGAAAGAAAAGGAATGGTCATGAGAACCTGGAATGATGTTTATTTAATAGGATTTGTATAGACAAGTGGTATAACACACGTAAGTCCAAGAGGCAGAGGAGCCTTTTGGGTTACAAACACATAGCCCCTGGGGGCAACTCACTAAAACTACTGGTAAACAAGGAAGGAAAAAAATGCCCCCTGCCAGGGACATGGGGTTGAAGCTTTTTCAAAGTTGGCCAAGGCCTACCCCCTTAACACCAGAAAAGGTCTCCACAAGAATGACCTGGATGGCAGTGAGGAGCCTGAGGCTTTCTCTTCTACTTAAAGGAGGGAATGGTAAGTCAGGGGAGAGGTGTGCTCAGAAGCTGTGACCATGGTCTCCAGGGAAGGAGGCCTTGAGGCTAGGGGGGCTCCATGTGGCTAAAAGGATGGGGTATCCTTGAGGGAAAAGGATCATTCTGGAGGGTCCCCCCACCTCCATCTGTCCTACTAACCCAAGCATATGGGGTGGGGAGGGGTTGGAGGCCTAACAGAAGGGTTGACTGACTCACAGCGATAACAACACATCCACAGTACAGCTCCGAAATGAAGATGAGGGCTGGGACCATGGAAATATGGAACAGGGCCTTATCCAGAATGGACTACCCAACAGTAACCATGCCCTTCCCAGAAAAGCACCATTGATCAAATGTAAGGGAATTAGTTCTTCAAAGCTAACAGGCTGACAAATATTAGTGGCCCTTCCCAGGGAGTGCAGAACTGCAAATAGCCACTCAGCCAGGATAAGCAGTGGTCAAGGAGGTACTTGGGAAAATACGTTTTTGTATTAGTTTCATTGCAAGGGTTCAGGGGGCTGGGTAAATGGATAGGACTTAATGGTCCCATTAGGGGGAAAGAGAGGGAAAGGAAGAATGGGCCAGCCACATTCTTCTGTGTCAGCATCTAGGCCCCTGGGAAATAGAGAAACGAGAGGGAGGACCACCCAACTGGACTAGTTCTGAAAGTGAAATAGGTGGGTTATGCAAGCTGCTTCCACAGCCTTAAAGACAGCAGCACCTTTAAGACTGGGCCCCAAGCAAGATTGGAAGGCATGGGGCAGGAGTAGAGTTAGAATGAAAAGAAGGCAGCTGTTCTGAATGGTTAGGAAGCCAAATGGTGGCACATGCCTGGCACTTGTCTGCTGGAGACAACTGCTACCTACCAAGCCGGAGAAGCAGTGGCTTTGAGAGAGGGAGGGATGGAGAAAATACACTGTTAGATCTCCAAATTCTAAAGGGACAAGCAGCAATAATGACCTTCAGAGGTCCCTCTGCGCTAGCCACTGTTGATGATCAGCATCCCCCCTCCCCTACCTCAATCTGGAACGGTGGGCCTCTTTGATCCCACAATTCTTTGAGTGCCAGCCCCATTTGGGACATGGGGCCCCAGGAGTAACCAGCAACTTACCCCACCATTATCCACCATTGGCAGGGATGGTAGCCCATCAGGCCCCTGGACGCCTTCTGCCACCACCTGATATCCTGAAGTGGGGAGGGGGAAAGGGAGGGGCAGCAATCAGGGGTTGAGGAGCTGTCAGACACACAGGCCTTAGTACCTGAAACCTATGTCTTCCTAACCCCAAATCCCAAGAGCTGGAAGGAATAAGAACATGAGAAAAGAGTTGTGCTTCCGTCCCACTAAATACAAGATGAGGGAGGGCAGAAGGAAGGAGGGAAGAATGGGAGGAGAAGGGGAGGAACGCTCACGCCTGGACTTCAATCACTCTGGCCCAGGGGAAGGGGCTCTCTGAGCAGGGGAGCTCCGTGAGGCTACTCTTCTTTTCATTCATCCTGTTTCCTCTTTGGTTTCTTGGGGTTCCGGGAGCGGCTCTTGGCTTTGCACAGGGGGCAGATGGGCGCATTCCGGTGGATTTGCTGGTGACATGACAGGCAGGCCTGGGAGAACACACCCAACAAAGGAAGTGACCAAGCTTGTTCCACTTTCAGGGGAGCCAGAGCCTTCTGTTTCCCTTCTGCCTGAGCAAATGCATAGGGCTTGGGAGTCCCAAGGGAGAAAGGATGAGTCAGCCCTAATCTGCTGGGCCAGCCTCAGGATCAAAGTTTGGACTGGAAGATGTCAATGGTCTTGGGAAAAAAAGTGGACGGATTGGCTAAGCTGCTCTCTGGACACAAAGGCAGTAACCCACTGAAGGCTGGGGCCTAGAATCATTGGCAGTACTCTACAAGGAAGCCATGGAGGACCAGAGATGGACAATGGCGTCGTAACCTTGCTTTGCCTTGGAATTCCCTTAGATGGTGGTAGGCTATGGTGGTGGGGGGAGGGGGAGGGTATATGTGTGTGTGTGTGTGTGTGTGTGAGGGGCATATGGGGGTGGGGAGGGGGGACAGGGCTATTTGGAGTAGACTGTAATCAACTGACTTTGCTTGTAATCCAGGCCAGGACACTGCCTGGGTGTCCTGGGGGACAAATCAATAGTGGGGTGAGACTTGGCCAGCATATCTAAGGATAAACACTCATTTCTAGAGCAACCCCAACCTGGGGCAGAATGCATGTAAAGTCCTTGCCAGGAGGAACTGCGGCATTTTTCTCCTTGTAGCTCCAATGCCTAGTATAGTGTCTGGCACACAGTAGGGACTTAACAGATGTTTGCCAAATTGAACTGAACTGAAGGAGCCCTAACAGGCTGGCTGTCATTAACTTCCTGTATGACCTTGGACAGGTCATTTAATCTCTCTAGGCAAACCAGCAAAGTGTCCAGGAAAGCTACCATTCAAACTTCCCAAGGTTCCATCTAACCCCCAGTCAGGATTACTCCCTGGGAAGGCAGAATAAAAGGGACAGCCCAGGGGCCTCTGCAGGCCCAGGATTATGTGGAGGTGAGGGGGCTGGGCCTCCATGCTTTCACAGGCCCCTTCCACCTTTAACCATCCATGTGTCTATGAACCTAAGAAGCCTAGTTTCCTGCCTTAGTGTCCTCATCTATAAAGTAGGGGATTAGATTTAGAGCATCTAAATCCTAATGGCCCTTCCCAGCTCTGACATTCCCTGTTCTAAGGCCCCTGCCAGCTCTGACATTCCCTGTTCTAAGGCCCCTGCCAGCTCTGACATTCTCTGTTCTAAAGACTCTCCCAGCCTTGACATTTCCTGTTCTAAGGCCCCTGCCAGCTCTGACATTCCCTGTTCTAAGGCCCCTGCCAGCTCTGACATTCCCTGTTCTAAGGCCCCTGCCAGCTCTGACATTCCCTGTTCTAAGGCCCCTGCCAGCTCTGACATTCCCTGTTCTAAGGCCCCTGCCATCTCTGACATTCTCTGTTCTAAAGACTCTCCCAGCCTTGACATTCCCTGTTCTAAGGCCCCTGCCAGCTCTGACATTCCTTGTTCTAAGGCCCCTGCCAGCTCTGACATTCTCTGTTCTAAAGACCCTCCCAGCCCTGACATTCTCCGTTCTAGGATATTGCTAGGTTCTGACACTTACTGTTCTATAGGGCCTCCCACCTCTACATGTTATTATCCTATGAAGTCCATACCTGAATCCATAGCCTGAGGCCATCTGGACTTTCCCAAGCCCACTCCCCACCGATCTCACCTTCATGGGTGGGGGCTGTTGTCTGAATGTGGCCGTCTGCCGGGTGTCTTGTTTCCTAGCCACTTGTAGCTGCTGGGCTGCGGCGGCAGCAGCAGCGAGGGACTCAGGGATGGGCGGCTCCTGAGGCTCTGTCTGCCACTCGGCCTTCTGCTTCTCGAAGTAACTTGGAAGGGGTGGGATGGGGGAGAGGGGAGAAGTTGGCTGGGCTGTTCCATGGTCATGAAGAACCATCTTGAATTTTACTTTCTGCCCAAACTTTCTTGAAACTCAGAAGCTAGGACCCCTAACTCTAACCATTTTCCAGGGTCAAGAGGAACCACTTTAATCTTTAACCTAACGGCAGCAACCAGGGCTTAGGCATTGCTACTCCCCCCATCCTGACCCCAGGAAAGAGTCAGCATGGTGGTGGGGCCCCCCACCCATCAGTGCCCAAGGAACATATCCTGTGGAAGGGTTCCGGGTATGACTGGCCTTCCTGATGGGGCCATAACCGAGACCTCAGAAAGATGAGGCCCTAGTCCTGCAGGAAGCTCAGATTTCTGCATCCCACCTCCCAAGCTCTGTGTCAGGGGGCTAGGCTATGGGAACCTAAGCTAGGGGAACTTACTCCAGGGACAGCTTCTCCTCCTCTTCACACAGGTCCGGAAGCCTCTGTAGGCCCAGGGTCATGCGGAGAGCATCCACGTGCTCCTTTAGGGGCTTATATTCATCATGCAGGCGCCGTGTGGACTCCAACAACTTGTTGAGGTCATTCTCTGACTGTTTGATGGTGTTCTCCATCTGGCCCAGGAGGATAAGGACAGGGGAAAGGAGAGCAGCTGACCAGCAAGACCCTGGGCTTCCACTCCCAGCTAACTGCTGCCAGTCCTCCCCCAAGGTTGTTTCCCACCTGTCAAACTAAACGCGGAGACAATACCCAGGCCCACAGCCCAAAAAGAAACAGAGAAGGTTACTTGGCAAACCCAAGCTAGGTCATGAAGAAAGGATGGGTTTCCAAAGGGGGAGATGTTTTTGTGGTGGCAAAGAATTGGAAATTGAGGGGATGCCTATCAAATGGGGAATGGCTGAACAAGTTGTGGTATATGAATGTAATGGAATACTACTGTAATATAAGAAATGATGAACAGGCTGATTTCAGAAAAAACCTGGAAAGATTTGTATGGACTGATGCTGAGTGAAGTGAGCAGAACCAGAACATTGTACACAGTAACAGCCACTCTGTGTGATGGTTAACTTTGACAGAATTAGCTCTTTTCAGCAGTGCAAGGATCTAAGAACAACTCCAAAAGACTCATGATGGAAAATGCTATCCACATCCAGAAAAAGAACTATGGAGTCTGAATGCAGATCAAAGCATATTATTTGCTCTCTCTCTCTCTCTCTCTTTTTGTTTCTTCTTTCTCGTGGTTCCTCCCATTGGTTCTATTCTTCTTTACAACATGACTAATGTGAAAATAGGTTTAATATGAATGTATATGTTGAGCCTATATGAATTTACATGCCATCTTGGGGTGGGGGGAGGGGAGAGATGGGGAGAAAATTTAGAACTCAAAATCTTATGGAAGTGAATGATGAAAACTAAAAATAAATATTTTTTTTAAAAAGGGGTGAGATGGGCAGAGGGGAGGAAAGGCAGAATCTGTGACAGTGATATGGGGGTACATGAACAACATGAAGACACAACAGGGAGAATATGAATATGGTCAATTCTGAACTAACAGCAATTTCTTAATTTCATAGGGCTGTATGCTTTTGGAGCTGGAAGGGACCTTTGAGGTTTTCTAGACCAATTCTCCTCATTTTTCAATAAGGAAACCAAGTCCCAGAGCAGAAAGTGATGTGTTCAAGGTCATCTAGATAATAAGTATCGAAGCCAAAATTTGAACCCAAGTTCTCTGAATCCAATTCCATCCTAAGATTGAGTTAGCTAGGGACTCAGATTGAGCTTGTGGGATAAAGACCCTCAGAAATCCCCTCATAATAAGAGAAACGGAAATTAAAAGAACTGTGAGGTTCTACCCCACACCTAGTAAAAGTCGATATCAGAGAGGTCATGGAAAGATGGGCACACCAATGCACTGTTGGTGATGCTATTAGTTAATCCAAATATTCTGGAAAGGAATTTGGAAATTATGCAAATAAAGTGGTTTCAACATCTGTACCCTTTGACCCAGAGAGTCTATTGCTAGACATGCACCTCAAGGAGACCAATGGAAAAATGAAAGGTCCCATATACACCAAAATAGTTATAGCAGCACTCTTTGTAGTAGCAAAGGGCTGGGGATAAATAGATGTCCCTCAACTGGAGAATGGCTAAACAAATCTTGGCAAATGAGTGTATGGAATACAACTGTACTATAAGAAATGATGGCTATGAAGAATGCAGAGAAGCATAAGAAGATTTACGTGAACCGATGCACAGAGAAGTCAGCAAACCATAAAAACAATATATAGGACCAGAACAACGTAATGAAAGAACAAATTGAATGGAGTTCTAATAGCCAAGAAGCTTGGCCCTGGAGAAGAGTTGAAAAAAAACACTTCCCTCCCTTCTTTGCAGAGGTGAGGGGTTATGGGTAGTGAATACTGCATAGAACACCAGGCACAACTGATGTGCTGGTTGGTTTGGCTAAACTACTTTTTCCCCCTTCTTTTTTTATTCTTTGTAACAAGGGATGGATCTCTAGCTAGCAGAAAGATATATTTGGAAGTGAGGGTGATGTAAACATAAAGGGTATCAATAAAAGTGTTTTCAAAGATGCCCAGTAGCTCACATGAACTACTCTCTGGCTACAATCATTACCATTCTTAAAATCCCTGAAGGACTTTCTAGTCAAGTCACCCCAACCAAGCAAAGCCCCTGGGCCCAGGGAGCAAGGGAACCAAATGCTGAGGCCCAGTAATCCCAAGAAGAGCCCAGGTTGATGCTAGAACCCACTGCTAGTCTGTGCTACCTGCCCACCACACACCACGTTGATGTCCGCATGGATCAGACGCAGTTCCTCCACATGGGCCATCTTTTCCTGTAGCAAGAGATCCATCTCTTGCTTATACTCCTTTAGATGCCGTTCCTCCGACTCTAAGGCTTCAAACTCTGCCTTCAGCCGTGCCTTGATCTTCTCCATCTGCATGGTCTTGTTCCTGCAGTATCAGAACATGGCAACAGGCTAAAATCACAATCCTGGACTAAGAATCACAGACTTAGAAGGACCCTCCAGAGGTAAGCACAGGCAGGAAGTATAGTGGAGATAAAGGGAGCTAGATCTGGAGTCAAAGTACCTGGCTGCTCAGCATAATTCCGGTACGTTTTGTTGTTTAGTTGTGTCCGACTCTCCACAACCTTATTTTGGAGTTTTCTTGGCAAAGATACTGGAGTAGTTTGCCATTTCCTTCTCCAGTTAATTTTATAGATGAGGAAACTGAGGCAAACAGGGTAGAGTGACTTGCCCAGGGTCACATAGCTAGTAAGTGTCTAAGGACAGATTTGAACTCATGAAGATGAGTCTTCCTGACTCCAGGCCCAGTGCTCTATGCACTAAGCCACTTAGCTGCCCATAGTTGGCACATTGTAGGTGCTTAATGAATGCTCATTCTCTTCTTCTCCCCCCATGTTTCTGTAACTTTACTAGTTGCATGACTTTGTGCAAGTCACTTCCCTGTGCATAAATAATAACTCATATTTCTATAGTACTTGAAGATTATAAAGCATTTGTTTTATAGCCCCCTAGGAAGTATTATTTTGCAGATAAGGAAACTGAGGCACAAAATCTTAGCTCCCTCCTCTGTACAGTGACAGGGTAGGATGACATGACCACAGGAACTCAGAATTGGAATATCTAGTCGAACCAGAACCTAAGCCAGAAGGCCCTGTCCAATATCCCCGTAATAAGTTGTCATCCATCCTCCATCTGACCAGCTCCAGTGACAGGGAGGTCCTTCCCTAAGGCAGCCCATTCCACTTCTAGAAAGTTTTTCCTTACAGGACGCTAAAATATGCACCTCTGTGACTTCTCCCTATTGCTCCTAGCTCTGAATCTCCAGCCTTTCTCTGATTCTATCATCTCATCTCTCCCTTACTCCTGTGGGCAGAACTAGATAAAAGAAGAGGCAGCTAGGTGGCGCAGTGGATAGAGCTCCAGCCTTCGAGGCAGGAGGACCTGAGTTCAAATCCAGCCTCAGGCACTTGACACTAGCTGTGTGACCCTGGGCAAGTCACTTAACCCTGACTGCCTGACAAGAAGAAAAAAAAAAAAGGAATTAGAGGAAAGAAGTATCTGTCTGCAGGGGGTGTCATTTTTGTCTTTGCATCCCCAGCACCAAGCCCAGTGCCTGGCACACAGTAGGACCTTAATACCTGCTTGTTACTGATCCCCTCATTTCCCCTAGTTGTTAATGCTCCTTCCCCTATCACTTCATTTACAGACATATACATACTGCGAACATGGGTTTTGTAATGCCTATATTATATGTTAGAATTTCCCTTCTTCACAGGGGAACAGGATGATCAGCTTAATCAGAAGGACTTCTGAGGCTCATTGCTGCTTGATCCTTTGTGAGTGAACTGGAGTCCAATTTGCAGATGCCACAGAGCCAGCCTTGACCAGCTCAAAAACAAACTTGGGCAGCAGTTGCAGATTTGGGACTTTGTAAACATCCTGCTCCCTGGCTTGTTGTGTCTACAGATGTCTCCCCCTTAAACCCTGCACCCTACTCGAAAGCTTCTAGAAACCATAGATATTTCACCCTTTTCCACTCCTTTTTTTTTGGGGGGGGGGGCTAGGCAATGGGGTTAAGTGACTTGGCCAGGGTCACACAGCTAGTAAGTGTTATATGTCTGAGGCTGGATTTGAACTCAGGTCCTCCTGAATCCAGGGCCAGTGCTCTACCCACTGTGCTACCTAGCTGCCCCTCCACTGCCCTTTTGAGCAGCTGAGAACTCTCTTCCTCTCTGCTCCCTTGCAAGCTCTTCTCAGACAATAAATGCTTTTGTAATCTGTGATCAGACTCTATTTCACTTAGAGTGCCTTCTTTTTGGGCCTAGGGTTTTCCTTTAGTATATACATATATGTATATGAATATTTAAATTCTATGTGTGTATGTTGTTGGGTTGGTTTTTTTAACCTTTATCCTCAGCCCATTAAAAAATGTTTCAAATCTATGATTTTATTGGTATAGGCCACAGTGGTGGGGAACCTGTGGTCTCAAGACCACATGTGGAAAAAGAAAAGGAATTATATGTAAATTATATGTATTTTTGTCATTCCTAATGTAGTACCTGGATATTTTACTGAAATAAATTAATTTGTCTCATTAAAAAAAAAAAAGACCACATGTGGCCCTCTGGGTCCTCAGGTGCAGCCTTTTGACTGAGTCCAAGTTTTACAAATCCTTTTATTAAGGGGGTTTGTTCTGTGAAATTTGGACTCAGTCAAAGGGCCACACTTGAGGACCTAGAGGGCCACAGGTGGCCTCGAGGCCACAGGTTCCCCACCCCTGGAGGGAATGCCTTGGGAAGAAACGCCCCAATACAGATAGGGAACCGCTTAGCAACTTGGGGCACAGAAAGGCCAGGTGAGTTCCCCAGGGTCACACAGACAATACATATCAGAGGCGGCCTTGGAACCCAGGTCTTCCTGACTAAGGCCTCTGCTTCTCTGATCCCAGTATTTCAGAGCCCTCCTTATTTTATTTTTCTTCTTTAGGTTTTCACTGAATCCCTCATAGGCTGCAGCTCAAACCCATGTCCCTTGGTTCTAGATTCCCCAGATCTAGATCTAGATCCAGATCCTCAGAGTTAGAAGAGCCCCCAGAGGCCACCTGGTCCAACTCCTATCTGAACAAGAATACCCCCAAAACATCCCCCCAAAGTGGCTATCCAGTCTTTCCAATCCATTCCCATTGCCTCCCACTGCTCTTTGAAACAGCTCTAGTTGCTAAGAGGTTTTTTCCTGATGTCAGATCTAAACTGGCTTCCAGTTCCAGTCTCAGGTTCTGGCCTCTGAGGCCAAGCAGAAGGAAGCTAATCCCTCCACCCTATGCCAGCCCTTCCATCAGTGTGAACGAATGGACATATGCATATATATAAATATATGAGTGTGTGTGTGTGTGTGTGTGTGTGTGTGTGTATTTCCCTTTTCCATTCTCAGTTGAGAACAGCTGACCACCCTTCACAGACTTAATTAAGATCACAAATTTAGAGCTTGAAGAGGCTCTAGAGATCGAGTCCAACTCCCTTCATTTCACAGATGAAACTGAGGTACAGATTGATGAAGGTACAGATTGCCCAAGAATCAGAAAATAGAAGAGGCAAGATGACATCGTAGAACTAGGGCCTGGGCCTGGACTGGGCATTAGGAGATCTGGGTTCTAGTCCTGGCTCAATCCACTTCGACAAGCATTTATTGAGCTATGTGCCAGGCACTAGTTAGGGACTAGACTCAGACAGGAGTGGAGAACCTAGAGCCTCGAGGCCACATGTGGCCCTCTAGGTCCTCAAGTGCAGCCCTATGACTAAATCCAAACTTCACAGAACAAATCCCCTTAATAAAAGGATTTGTTCCATAAAACTTGGACTCGGTCACAAGGCCACATCCAAGGGCCCAGAAGGCCACGTGTGGGTGGGTGATTTCCCACCCCTGGGACACAAAGACCAAAAAGGAATGGTTCCTGAGCCTTCAAGGAGCTTCTATTCTACTTGGGCAGTGGAGGGTGAGGGAGAGCAGTACAGTCATTAAATCACTGGGTGACCTTGAGTGAATCACTCTTCTCTTGCTTTGTTTCTTCATCTGTAAAATGAAGGGACTGTTCCAGGTGCTCCCAGCCAGGACACCTTGTGGTGTAGTGGAGACAGCTTTGAAGACATAGGTCTAACTCCCAACTCAGACACTTCCCAGGTGTGGGACCTTTGACAAGTCACTTACCTGGGCCTCAGTTTTCCCTTCTGTAAAATGAGGCGGTTGGACTAGAGGACCCCAGAGGGCCCTTCCAGCTCTAGATGTGGGATCCTACGTCAAAGCTGGATTCAAAACTCGGACCTCCTGCCCAAACCTGCAGCTCTTTCCACTATCCTCCACTTGCTGGACTAAAGATTTGAAGAGATCAGCCCCAGCCAGGATACAGAAGCTCAGTGGCACCTGAGTTGGCCACTTGAATTCCCAGCTTCAGATTACAGACAATGAAAATAATGATTAGCCTAAGGCAATGCACACATCAAAGCAAGATAAATCATAGCCTTTCCTGGGGCTGGGTCCAATTTGCCCAAAATGCCAGCAATTCAATTAAGGTGGCAGAAGTCACAAACAATTGAAATCAGGATGGATGGCTCTCTCCCAGTGGTACTTCCTTGAATACCCCAGTGCATCCTGGGATGAACCACCCTCTGCCCTGCTCCTGCCTATGGAACTCAAAGGAGTTCTGCAGGGAGAGGAAGCAGTCGAAGGTGACACGTGAAAGGAGGTGTCTCACCTATAATTGACTATAAAAAGAAAAAAAAAAATGAAGACTGAACCATGGAAGAGCCCATAAGGCACAGGTGTTGAAGTCAGGAAGACTTGGATTGAAAGCTCCCCTCGGATACTTACAAGTTGTGTGACCTTGGACAGGTAACTTTACTTCCATGGACCTGTTTCCCCCTCTGTAAAATAAGGTGTTTGGAATTCTAAGGTCCTTTGTAGCTCTGAATCTACTATCCCACAATCCTGAGAGGTAAAGGTAGATTGCAGGGGATGCTTCTAAAATTCAGGGAATAGAACCACAGAATCTCAGAGCTGGAAGGATCCTCAGAGGGCTGGCTGCCCATCAAACCTGGGCCTCAGCAGAAATCCAAAGGTCCAAAGACCTCTAGTGATGGGGAACTCAGTACTTGGCTTTACAGTCTCCAAAGACCTCTGGTGATGGGGAACTCACTACTTGGCTTTACAGTCTCCAAAGACCTCTGGTGATGGGGAACTCACTACTTGGCTTTACAGTCTTCAAAGACCTCTGGTGATAGGGAACTCACTGCTTTCCTTTTCTGCTTTTGGACTAAGTGGAAGTTTTTCCTTCCACTGGGTTTAGGCACAGGAATGGGGAACCTGCAGCCTAGAGGCCACGTATGGCCTTCTAGATCTTTGGGTGCGGCATTCCGACTGAGTCCAAGTTTTACAGAACAAATCCTCTTATTAAGGGGATTTGTTCTGTGAAGTTTGGATCCAGTCAAAGGGATGCACTTGAGGACTTGGAGGGCTACAAGTAGGCTCAAGGCCACAGGTTCCCCACCCCTGGGTTAGGGGGGTACTTTGTGGGAACCACATAAATAGGCCAGTCTCCATCCTTAGGGGTTTTACATTTTAGTTGGGGGGGCATAACTTAATTTCCCTCTTTGGGCCTCAGTTTTCTTCTCTGTAGAATAAGGGGGTTGGATTAGATGGTCTGTAAGGTCCTATCTAGCTCTGACATTCTATAATCTCCTCTGTTAGCCTTACTTTCTACCTCTGTAAAATGAGGGGATTGGACCAAAACCAATCAACCATCATTTATTAAGCAGCTACAATTTTACAGAGGCCAAGAGAGGAGGGATTCAATCCTAGATCTCCCTACTGAGTCTTAGACTTTCCCCTACCCAAGAGCCATGAGACAAATGATTATTAAATAACTAATTGTTAATATGCAGGAGACACAGGATTTATCCTTCTGAAACCTTAGTAGGCCAAGCCAGCATCTGAAGGACATTACTCCTCAATCTTGTTCCAACCCCACCCAGGTGGGGAGGCCCATTGCATTTTACTCAGGTTTGGATGGGGATAAATTCTTTGATCAGATTGCTCAAGGCTGGGGGTGGTTTGGAAGTATATGACCTGTCCTCAGCCCCTCATTCAAATAGGTCCACCTCTTATAATATTCATTTTCTCTCATTACTTATTACCCAATCCGAGCTGATTGCCACCCTTAGGACCACCGGCTCTTCCAAGGGCACATTAGCATTGAGTAGGCTCCATTTGAGAGTGTCACTGATCCATCTTATTAATGATATGCTAGCATTCTTAGTAAAATGATTAATTACCCAGAAATTATGTCTCTCAAACTTTCTATATATCACAGTCACAACTAGTGATTCCAGCATCTGGGGCCAAGTTCAAAGTGGGGAGAGATAGAGGCCATGGGGCAGCCAGAGACAGTCAGGGGCAGGCTTCCTTTCCACAATGGACGCCCTGCAGGAAGTATACTCCCCCCCCCGCCCTGTGATGTCCTGGGAGGAGAGGACAGGGGAACATGGTTGCAGCCCTCCTCTTACAGCTCCATGGAGCTGGTTTATCCCATCTGACTGCAGAGCTGAAACTTCTTGACCGGAAAACACTATAGAAACACTAAATGCTCAGAGAATCCTCTATCAAGAGCTGGAAAGGACCTTGGAGGTCATTTGGTCCAACCTCCTTATCTTACAGATATAAGGGGAAGTGACTTGGCTAGGGTCACACAGCTCTTAAGGTCTGGAGGAAGATTTGAACCCAGCACTTCATGACTCTCCCCCCAAGCCTCAGGCCCTATCCACTATCAGTGGTATCAAACTCATATGGAAAGGAAGGCTCTTAAACTGTACATAAGGATCCCTGAGGGCAGTATATTGACTTAGAATACCACATAGCAATATTATCTATGCTGTGTTGTATTTTTATTTATTTTGTTAAATATTTCCCAATGATATTTGAATCTGGGTTGGGCTGCACTCAGAAATGTTGTAGGCAATGTGTTTGGCATCTCCCCACTTGCTATCCTGTTTTTCACACGGTATTAAGAACTTCTCGGAGATGTGAGTA